AATAAATCTCCAAAACGAACGATTGTTATAACAGAAAGAAAAAAAGATGAAAATAATAAACGAATTAATAAAGATAATAAATCAAATCCAGATATTGAATTTCTTGGATCAAAAATAATTAATCGAGATAAAAAATCTACGGAAACTATACATCAACAAACAGAAAATAATAAAAAATCTATTGATATTAAACGTGAAAGAAAATCACCAAATAAATCTTTATCTGATCAACAAAAACGTCATTCATCTTCATCAACAACTAATAATAATACAACAATTAATGATAAAAATATTCAAATTAAAACAGAAGATACAAAACATCAATCAAATAAAACACAGTACGTTCTATATAATTAACATTATACAATTTAAATTAATCAGATTTTCTCTCAATCGATCAGTAATATTTCGAAATACACACAATAGATCGTTTATAAAATATATTTTAATATTAAAAAAAAAAATCATTGAAATAATGTAAAATACTTGATTAGATCATTGACCAATTTAGATAAATTATCTATTTAATTTAGATTTCAATTAAAAGAATTTAAATTGACCATTAAGACTAGACTGTCTTACGCTCATATGCTTACCTATATAAAATTGCGCAAATTTTCGAAGAGCATTATCTCATAGTTTGCCTAATGTTACGAAAATATAGAAGAAACAAAGTATCACGTGCAAAAAATGTTAGTAAAGTATACAGAAAAGGTAACATTTAACACGTGTAGACATGATTGATGACACAGAACAATGTCGTTGACTTCTAATCAAGATGATAACATTGATATCTATTAGTGTACTCATCGTAATATTAAAAATTCTTAAAAGAAAAATTCAATTTATCAATAATATAAAATAGTCGAACTATATTAGTAATTTTCTAAAATTATATGAAATATAGACAAAATTTTTATCATATTCGATATATTTTAATTATCAATAAAGCACATCGAATAAATATAAAAAAAAAGAAAATCTTTGCTCTATACATCGAACTATATTCATCTCTCATACAAAAACAAAATATGTAGTTCTATTGCATGTAGATAAACATAAATGATTCAATCAAGTTATACGAGTGTACAGACTTCAAAATTTAATCGGACTTTGTATTAAATAACTTTTTTTTTTGTTTTTCTTTAGAAATTCATCTGAACAATCTGAACGTAGTATGTTATTTGAAATAATTATTTTCATATTCTAATTAAATTTTATTTTTTAATTTCAAAAGATACATCACAATTAACTCCACTAGTTGTTCAACTTTCTCCAACACCTTCAGTAACAGGAACATCTGAAATATTCGAAAAAGGATCTGTTATACTTTCAAATGAAACAGAAAAAACTACACCTATTCAACCTCCATCACCTATTTGTGTTATTCTTGATGATGATGATTCAAGTCCAGCACCATCCATTGATAAAAAAGTTGTTCGACAAACATCAACAACACCAGTCAAACGAACTAATGAAAATGATAAAAATAGTTCAAAACAAAATAAACGGTCTCGAGATTCAGATAAAAGTCATAATAAAGAAAAAATAAATGATAATAGTGAAATAAAACGTAAACGACTCAATGATGGTATATAATTTCTTCTGTTTTTTTTTTTTGTTCAAACAGAAAACAAAAACCAATCTAAACTTTATCTTTTAGGTAATTCAAGAAAAATAATATCAAGTCGTAAAAGTGGTAATGATAATCGATCAACTAACAATCGGTTAGTTAAAAATAAAATCTATTCATTTTAGAAATCTTATTTTATTTATATTTTAGATCAGATAATCGTCGTAGTGCAAATACTTCTTCGAGAGATGAATCATCAAGTCGTAAATATAAAGAAAAAATCGAAACAAAAACTACTAAAAGTAAAGATTCAAAAGATCGAAATTTACCTGCATCTTCATCCTCATCATCGAAATCACGTAGTACTAATGATCGACGAGATACAACAAGATCTTCACCTGAAAAAAAGTAAATATTCTTTCTTTATCTTCTAAATATTTTACACAATTATTTATTTTAGACATTCAACACATCGACGTGGCAAAGAAAAAGGTAATTAGAAACGAAAACAAATACACTTACTTAAGAAAACTAATATTTATTTCTAAAAGGTTTAGAAAATGTAACTGATTCTGAAGAACATCTTGATGAACCAGTTCTACCAAAACAAGGTAAATTAAATTTGAAATTATCTCTTTTGATAAAAAGAAAAAAGAATATCTTTCTTCAGCGGCTCTTGAAGCTTATATGTCTATGGATTGGTCATTATTATCTCGTGATAAACGTATTCCATTAAATACTCAAATAACATCACGTATTGCTCGTATTGATAATAGTATTAATTTACTTGGTATATCGGAACGTTTATTAACAAATGAACAAAAAGAAAAATTAAATGAAATAGAATTTCAATCATCACCATTAACACATTTTATGAAACAATTACAAACAAAATCTAGTTCACAAATTATTAATTCTTGTCATCGAAGATTTGGTTCTTGTGCTAAAGATATGATTGATATGAGACATAAATGGTTTATAAGATCCGTAAGATGATTTTCTCTTTAGGTTTTTTCTTGGAAGTATTTGTTTTTCAATGATTTTAATTTTTAAATTAGGTTGAACCAGTACAACAATATGAATTTATCAATAAAGAACATTATATAGCATTTCAACATGCTATTAATTCTTTATTAGATAAAACATCAAATGATACTCCAACTGTACAAATTGAGACAACAACAGCTGAAGTTTTATTATCATAGCGCGTTTTCTTTTCTTTTTTTTTCTGTTGTATTTCTTTTCTTTTCATTTAATATTTGTCTTGTGTTGTAATTCGATGTATCTATTTTCTCGAATAAATCGTCTACGTATACGTTCAGAACAAATTAAAATTCCACTAAATGAACAAAATCTTATAATAAATTTAGCAAAAAAAATTCTTAATAGTCCATTAAAAATTTTAGCTATTGATTTTGATAAAACATTGATTGATGATGATAGTGGAAGTTCAATGAGTTTTGAAAATATTTATATTCGTAATCAATTTTTTTGGCTTATTAAGTATTTAATTCAACATAAATGGATTTGTATTACTAGTTTTAATGAAAATACACCAACTAAATTTAATGAAAATCTTGGTAAATGGAAAATATATATGTTACAGAATATAGAGATTAAATTGAGTAATAGAATAAAATTATTTTTTTTATACTGATGAGAGAAGATCCATAAGTGTAAATTGTCGATCGAACGCATCTTCCGCTCCTATTTAGAACTCATCGAGACCAGAAGAATAAATACTAAAAGAATTCCTTTTCATATGGAGTCCTTTTAAAGTTATAGTTATTTTACTGGCTTTACTACCTCTGGTCAGGTATTAGCTAGAAAATCAAATGAAGTAACATATATTGGAAACTTTACTCATGAACAGATCTTACAGTCAGTAAATCATCCGGACAGTTTCAACCAAAATGAATAAGCCCTCCTAGAGATATTAAATGCTGAAAAAGATTTGATTTTCTCGACTTTTTATAAAAAATGAAATTTTCTCCGATTCAATATCTTTAGAAGGACTCATCCATTTTGACTGACACTTATTGAGCAGTTCACTGACTGTGAGTCCAGTTTAGGAGTAAAGTTTCCAATGTATATTCCTTCATTCGATTTTTCAGCTAATACCCGACAGGAGATTGATAAGTCAGTAGAATAACTATAACTTTAAAACAAATCCGTACGGAGATGTATCCTTTTAGGGTTTTCTAGTCTCAACAAGTCCTATATATGAGCGAAAGATACACTCGGTCGATGATTTACACTTGGAGACCTTCTCTCATTAGCCAGAAATCTATAATAAAATCAGAGAATAAAATAAATATAAACAAGTGAGAAATCAATAATTGTGAAGGTTGATGTTGAAAATAAATATTCTAAACATAGTAAAAAATTTCAAAGTAAAAGAATAATAGGCATACACCAAACTGGAATTAAGATTTTGTTTTCGCATCATATCGTTTGGATTCGGCTTTGGGAACTATTCAACCAGTTTGGCTAGTGTCGAGTATCTAGATAATTATCCAAGCGATGGCTAGAAGTATATGAGCCGTCATGGAAGTAGTACTCGACTGTTCAGCCAAAGTTAGTTTCATATTTGAATACTCCGAAGCAATCGCAGAGATAATTTTGAAGACATCAGTCTGTGACTCCTTAGCATTTGACTCATTTTTTCCCTATGTCTAGATTCCTGTGTAGTCAGCCTTCGAATCTTTTCTTTCGACTTTGTTCTACTCCCTTTTTTGAATAAACTAAAAATGACTGAATTTAAGGATGACTTCGAGCGTTAGAGATTTGGTATAATAAGAAAGTGTTTAATGTTGAAAAATTTAATGAATTAATGCAAAATTTTCAAACTTTAATATATGAAAAATTAATCGCTTTATTTTTCTAAGTTTATATTAGAACTTTATTCTTTGTAATCTTAGAATACGAATACAATATTAAATTTATTTTAAAATGCTTAGGTATTGTTACTCAAACAATAGTTCGTCGTCTTTTAAAATTAACCGATAAAAATTTATCTCGTCATTCAATCAATAAACGACTTGCTCATGAATATAAAATTATTATTGAATCATATCCTAGTCGATCTTATGGAAAAATTGAACATATACAAAATTGTATTAATCAAATTCAACAAATTTCATCATTTTCATTCGATATTCAACCATATCATATTGCTCTTTTTGATGACAATCTAATGAATATAAAAGAAGCCAAAGAATATTTTCCAGCTGTATTAATTTCAATCGATGAATTTAATATAAAATCAAAAACAATAGAACCAATGATACCTTTAATTGATCAACTTACACAACAATCATGGAATGAATATGAAAAATTAAAAACAAAAAGAAAATATTCAAGAGGAGATAGATTACAAGGATCTGAATTATAAAAAAAAATTGAATAAACTTTTTGTTTTGTTTTTTTACACATCTTGTATATTATTTTCATGTTCATGTCGTTTTCGTTCTTCATATTCAACTAATTCACGTTCCCATACTGGTAATAACTTACTAACCATATCCCAATAATTATTCTAAAAAGAGATGATATATATATATATTAATGAAAAACAAACAAGCAAATATTTATTCGAATAGAAAATTCTTACTTTTAATGTAACAAATTTTTGATTATCTGGTTGTCTTAAATGTTTATCAATTTCATTATTTAATTTTTGAATAGACTATAAAATAGATAAAATTTAAAAATTACACAAAATTATAATTTAATATTACTTTTAATAAAACTTCATTTCTCATTCGAGCTTTTTCAATAGATGACATAAATAATATTTCATTATTTTGTTGCATTGATTTTGGTAATTGAATAAGAGAAGAATCAAGTAATGATTGTCGTTCATGTTTACTAAATTTAAACTTACAAAAAATTATCAATTTTTCTTAATAATTTACTTACATATATGATCGTTTTAAATCTAATTCTGTTGTTTCAGCGTAATATTCGCTACCTGGTCCAAATTTTTTCAACATTATTTTATTAGAGAAAACAAAATCAATGTCATATACCATTAAATATATTTTTCACATAGTAACGATTCGAAGGATTACACAAGGTACTGCCATCTATTAACTACATATTCATATAAAATGTGTCGTTGCATCTTGCAATAGATCGCTCCAAGTGAACCTACAATACATTCTTATACGAGTTTTGAATCTATTCTTCATTGATTTGATCAATTTTTTCTGAGAAAATAAACAATTATTGATTTTGTTTTCAGTTTAGTTCAAATTAATAATATTTATTTTTCGAACTCAAGACAATGAGATTTTAAAACCTATCGATCTCGAATCGGTTCAATCTTGATCAAACTACTTTGAGATAATCCATTCTCGATCATCAATGGATCTCCAAATGTGTTTTCGAACATGAAACTAATCGAATAAATATATCCAGATATATATTGAAATTCGAATATGTTCAACGAAATTGTTTGTATGTAGTTGCATACACAAAATAAAATCTCGAATGAACAAATAGACTAAGACACATTTATAATGTGTCACATTTTATTTTAGTATATAGTCAAAATGTTTGTTTAATGTATGATCAATCTTTGTCAATATTAAGTAATAAAGAAAAATATCTTTAAGTTCATTATTATTTTTTTGAATTGTGTTTTTTAATATTATCTTCCCAATTACAAAATATATAAATCTGAAGTAAAAATCTTTTCGTATAAGTGAAGTACGATAGTTGATTGGTACATCATCTCAACTCTGAAATATTCAAGTCATCCTTTTATTTGTTACGTTTTATTCATTGTATTCAATAATGCTTCCGGTTGCACGTAGATTGTTTATTATTGGTTTCGAACTACCATCGATATATTTAAAATGAAATTATTTTGTTGAAAACTTAACAATATTATATAATTATATATGATTAAACCTGGAACACAATGACCTGTATTCTATGTAATATTTAATTAATTGTTAAAAATTTAATATCTTGTAGATTATACACTTGGTGTCTACATATTATGTATTTGAGAATAATCAAATCGATATTGATTCTGTTGATGAATATTATTTTCGTAGAATGAATAATCATTTCATCATTTTATGGGTTATGTCATGAAATCAAAATAGTACTATACACGGTCTCTTTTTATTTTTACTTTGTAGTATTCATTGAATAATTCAAGAAATAGAGCATAAATAGCAGAACATACATACAGAATATAATTATTTGATATATTTTGGCTGATAAACAAGTCAATGATGAATCGTATATCATCCATTCTTCTATCATTATTATTAACATCAATCGTTGTTATTCAATTAGACGGTATAGATTTTACATTTTTCTTTTTGAGTTTTTCTAAAATTATTTGTCTGTTTTAAGATCTTTTAGATATTAAAATATGTGGTAAGAATGAAAAATATACAACATGTGATTCTACATGTCCTCCAACTTGTGATGATATACGTTATCCATTATCGAAACCATATAAGACATGTATTTTATTATGTAAATTTGACTGTTTTTGTAAGAATGGTTACTATCGAGCAGAAGATGGTAGTTGTGTTTCACCAGAGAAATGCTGTGGTGACAATGAAAAATATAAAACTTGTGGTTCAGCTTGCATTGAAACTTGTGATAATAAACCTGAACAATGTACAAAACAATGTGTTGTCGGTTGTTTTTGTGCTTGGTCTGATCATGTTCGTCAAAGCAATAGTACTGGTAGTCCATGTATTCATCGTGATAACTGTTCAAATGCATGTAACGAAGACAGTTAAAAATACGATGTTTTTGCCTATGAAAGATGCGTTAAATGATGTATTTCTGCTTAAAAAAGCAATTTGAAATTTATAGTTTCCAACAAATTAAGAAGCAGAAATAGGATTTTTCGATTGGCATTCAACTGTAAAACCACATGTTGTATGTTTGTTCGCACTACCACCAGCATATCACCGTGTCCATAATTACCGACGATATACTTCTTAGTGAATGTGGTGACACAATTGTTGCATCTCAGGCAAATGTTCCCTGGACAGTTGCTCGCACAATACTTGCTCTTATGATGGTAAGGGTGAGAGTGAAGGAAAATGTCAGAGCGAAGATTGAGGCTAAGACAACGGCGAATGGAAGACTGAGGGATAGAAGGAAGTCTATATATAATTCCAGTGCTTTTTTAATTGTTCGTCGTTCTAACTAAGAACTGTAGAAAAGAAAATATCGTGGAAGCAAACGTCATGGATTCAGTGAGTGTACCGAGTTCAAGATATCCGTGAACCAGATCAATTGTCAGCAGGGTATCTTTTCGGGCACTCTGGTATCATTATGTCACAGAATCTTAATTGAATACTCTGCTGAGAAATGTCACAGTACATGAATACTTACCAGGTACTTTATTGTCCAATTTGAATCACATAGAGCATGAAAAGAAAAAGAATATTGTCACTATGCATCAAATTTATTTCTTATAATTCTTTCGCAATTATAAACATAATACATTCAAAAAACATTAGATATTTATATTCAATATTAAAAACAAAACAAAAGATGTCAATTAAATTGAATAATAATAGAAAGTTGAAATAAATTTTTTAAACATCACTTTGTGGTTTACGTAATTGATAGTCTGTATATTGCTTGATTATTTCATCTTCTTGATTATAACATGGATAATTATATTCATGTTCAACATGACCATATTCAACTTGTCGTTGTTTATTAATTGTTATACCAACCATATTCCTATTTTAAGACAAACAAAATAAAATATATCTATTTATTATCAATGACAAAAAAAAAATCAATAACATACTCAATCATTTTTATTTGAAGAATTTCTCGAAAATTAATTTGTAATGTTTCTGATTCATTTTTAGCTGTTATTAAAAATTCTGTAAATGCAATAAGACATGATAGAATAATACCAAATAGAAATATATAGAAAAGGCCAGTTACACTTGAAAGGCTTAATTCACTAAAACGTTTATCTTTGTTAGTTTGTGTACATTCGGATCGGTCATACCTTTTAATTGAAAAAGAAAATAAATAATCAAATTCCTCTATCCAGAATAAAAGACTATGTTCTTCTATTAAACTTTATGAAATTTTTCTTGTAGATAGCCTTTTATTCTAGAGAAGGGAAGGGAAAAAAGGTTTAATTGAAAATTAAAACATACCACCAACGTTGTTTACGTTTATCTAAAAATCCTGTCTCTTTTAGATTAGTAATAATTATATCTATGACTTCTGTTAAATCAGAACCTATTCTTGTTGCAATTCCATAACCTTTTGAATCAAGATCACTACCAACTTTCATTGTATCACATGGATATCTTTCATTAACATATTCATTTTTTGTTGATCTAAATTTTTATTTAAAAAAATAATATAATTTCATTTTTATAACATATATATATATATTAACTTACTCAATAAAAAATGCATATTTGCCTTTTGAATTTCGTACTTTTGCTACACCTTCATCATTTGTTGTAACAAATACTTCAGACGAACTTCTTTGCATTATAGCCCACATATTTTGAAAAATTGTTACATTAGATTTTTCAAAAAAAGCAGATGTTGTTCCATTTCTTAGTGAACCATATTTAATTTCTTGTTGATTAGCTAAAATATATTTAAAAAATATCAAACAATTTTCAAAATTTATTCTAAGTTAAATTTGATGAGAATTTTATATATAATAATAATTTTTTTATCTTCTTCTTACCAAGATCTTCAACATTTTTAATTGGTGCAACTAAATTTTCGACAGTTAAACATGCAACAAGATTAGCTGTATATGATGAAACAAAAATTAATGAAAAATACCACCATGATATTGCTGCAATTCGACCAGATAATGATTTTGGTACAAGATTAATTGATTGTCTCATAAATGATGCAAATGAAAAAAATAATGCATTAGAAATACCAAATAAATGAACAGTATTTTGTTTTGATTCATTTTTCTTTTTTTTATCCTTATTTATATTTAAATTTGATAAATGTTGATCTGATAATTGTGTACGATAATGATGTCGACGTTTTATTGATGATCTTGTTAATGTTGGAAAATCATTTGAATGTTCCGAAAGAACTGAATCTCGTTTTTGACGTTGTGATTCAATAAGACTTTTACGTCGATCATTAACACTTTTTGGATATGAAAATGAACGATATGATGGCCGTCGTACAACACGTCGTTGCCAACCTGAATTAACAACACGCGATGTTAAAAAAAGTACAACACTAACAGCAAAATATGCTAATGATAAACATAACCAAATTTCTGTTGATACTGGATTCATAAATGAAAAAACACCTGGTTTTTGTGCATCAGGTTTACTTATCTATAGAATGTCGATAGATAAGAAAAAATAAATCAATAAGAAAAAAAAATTCATACCATAATAGAAATACCTTTAGTAAAAGAAAAAAACGTTTTAGATAATAATAATAAAAAAAAGAAGAGAATGGCTTTTTTTTTGCTCTAATTAACTTACCTAAATTCATAAATGGTTTACTAAAATCAACCACTTCCATACGTATTTGACTAATAGTTAATGGTGCAATAGCCATATCGGCTTTTCGAGATACAATATCGCCAATCATTCCTGAAAACGAATGACAAAATATAGAAATTCTAATTGACAGAATATCAATCGTATTTTATTCACTTCGTCAATATCTAAAGGGTGTCTCAAAAGTCATAATCACTTAAATAAATACAAATAACTTCATTACTGATCAACAACTTTGTTTTTCTCTTTGAAACAGAACACTATTGATGTATTTGCTCTTTACGAATAAAAATTTTCTAGTCTTCTATTGATTAAATTTAATCAGTAGTAGAGTTATATATATTTATTTAAATGTTTACGACTTTTTTTGAACATCAGATATACCAAATATTAATAGTTTGCTTTTATTTAAACATCTCTATAATTCGTTTACTCATATAGTTTCTATTGTCACTTATTTGATATCTAATTGTAATTACTTACCATCCCAAATACCTGTTGATTTATTTTTACTTCCAAAACGTCCATCTTGAACAATACGAAATTGACATGTTATATTTAACATTGAACAAACTTTTTCTGCCAAATCAACACAATAACCTTCTAATTCATGAAAATCAAATATACGACCTTGTAATTCTTTTAAATTTGCTTGTGGTTGACTATATTTTGTATATAAGACAGTTCCTTTACGTAACATAAGAAAAGGTTCCTCAAATAAACTAGTTACATAATAAATTTTTGATGATAATGATTTATCTGTTAAAGATAAATCTTTATTTTTATCTATATAACATGATTGATAATCATTATTTATAGTTGAATAACGTCCAATAAGTTGAATAGGTTTTTTAAATTGATTTAATAATGATTTTTGTATTGAAAATATATTTACATATGGAAAATTACAATGATTAAGTTTGATTTTTTTCGTTTGTTTTAAACGATATGTTTTACAATCAACTATATTTGAAATAACAATTCTTATAATTAAATTTAATGCATCAAATAATGTACGCGAATAAATTTGTACTGATTCAGGTAATTGAGAATTAAAATATGAATATGAAAAATATTTATCATCTGAATTTATCTTATTATGACATAAATTTAAATTTATATTTGTATCATTTAATAATAATGAAGAATTTTTTACTATTAATTCAGTAGAATTTAATGATTTAGAAGAACTAGGATTATTACGAAATGATAATGTTGTTCGATAATAAGATTTATAATGAATTGATTTTGTAGATGATAATGAATTTTCATAGGTATTTTGTGATGATTGAAAATCAAGAGTACAATCATCTTGTTGATAATCGAAATAAATTAATTGACCAGTAAAATTAAATTTATTCATCCATAAACAAACATCAAAAGTTGATACGATTATATATTGATAAGAATCACTTGTAAGTCCTAAATGATATAAATTATTATAACTATATACAATATTGATAATGAATAGAATACTCTGATTTGCAATGATATTTCTCTTTTTTTTCTTTTTTGAGAAACTCTATTTTTGATTGAATAGAAAGTTCAATTAATAAAATCAAAAAAAATTAGTTTTCAGTGTAATTTATGATTAGGAAGTTTTATTGAAAAGTTAAATTACTATCGATTCTTATCGTATTCAGATACAAACAAATACTTGTCATTGTTTATCTAATCACTTTATGCATCTATTTGCTATTATCTTTCGGATGATTTATATTTTGTTATTAATAGACAAATCACAAGAATATAATTAAATTGTGCAATAATAATCTTTTTTTTCTCTTTTATGTTACATTCCTAATTGATGCGAATTAATGAAAATTATTTAATATATTTTTTATGTAAGAAAGTTCGAAAGCAAAAATTTGTGAACATGTCATCTATGAATCTTGATTCGAGAAGAAATCTTGAATATTTGAATAAGAATGATAAACTTAAAATGAGATGGAAATCTATCTAATCATGGATTTAGTTAATGTTATTATCAACATCAGTATAGAAACATTTCCGTAGTAGACAGTACATTTCGATATAATCAAGAAATATGAGAATTAATTTAAGCAACATAAGTATCATTCTTTCATTAAATCTATTTGAACTTCATAATTATTTTAGATATTTTACTCGAGCCATAGAATGTAGTTTAATCACTATCTTCGAACTTGTATCTCTAATATTCTAGTAATATATTTCTCATCAATCATTTATTAATACTTAATCAAATTAATGGAAATCTCAAGTTACAAACGTAATTACTTTTTATGTAAGGACGTAAGTTATGAGGAGCGCTTGGAGCGTAGCGTCTCGCCCTTATCTCGGAAATAGTCCATGGAGCATCCGTTTTTTTTCTGAGACTCAACCACTCTATGTTTCTCTTGTCTCCAATATTGAGACATCAGAATCTCTTATGGTTTCTGTGAATATTAATAAAAAAAAAGAAAAAGAAAAAGAAAAGAACAAAAGCAACTAAAATACAAACCCATATGTGAAATTTTCTCAAACATTCTTTCATAATCATCATACGAATGAAGATCAAGTACAATATAGCTTGATAATCGATCTTTTTGTAAAGAATTTGATTCAATACTATATAAAATTGAATAAATATCATCATTACGTGTTGTTCGAATATCTAATGATATATTATTATAATATTCATCTTTATTCATTAATTCAAGTAATTCATAAATTCTATATGTAGCTTCATCATTATCATATATATATATTGCTTTTTGTACATGATTAAATTTTAAATAATTAATTAATACTTGAAGTATATTAGGCATAATAAAATATTCTTGAATAAATGATCTAAACAAAAAAATAAAAATAGAATTAATATTTTAAGAATAATTTAAAATTGATAACAAACGTTGTTGTTGTTGTTGTTGTTGAACATATCATTGTTTTACTTCCATATGATTTCATATTAATAAATGGTATATGGTTTATTTGACAAAAATCACGAATTAAATTTGTATGAGATTGAACTGTACGTGTTAAATAAATATCTGTAAGATTTTGTTCAAATTCAAGTATATTTATAAGATTTGGTAAAGAATCTAATGTATTTAACCAATGTAATTGTAAATTTAAACCTTTCCGACCACAAAAAGTTACATTAGGTACTTTTATATTAACAAAATCTGTATAATTATAATTATCATCAATAATTCTAATACGAATTGTTGATTGACCATGTGAGAAATATATTATTAATAGAAAAAGATAAAAAACATGATCCGACAACATTTGGGAAAAATACACATATATGAAAATGCTATATGAATGTTTCTCTCTCGTCTTTTTTTTTTTACTGTAATAACCAGAATCTAATCGATAAGAATAAATTGAATTAGACTTGCTATTCATCGGTTCGTATTTTCATCGTATGTTGTACTGAACTAAAGAAAAAAGAAGAGAGAAGAAAAAAGCTTCAGTACAAGAAAAAGATAGATGAATAGATCAATATGAAACCATCGGTTTAATCAAAGAATAAATAAGTCTTGAGATAATAGAAGAAAAAAAATAATATACATTTAAATACTTACATTCTCTTTCGAAATGCTTTAATTTTAAATATATAGTTAGAATGACAGTTTGCATTGATGTTGCCAACTATTCTCTAGTGAATATATATATATATATTCTATAGAAGAAGAAAAAAGAATTAGCATCAATAACAGTCGGAAATGCTATGGATAGAGAGAACTTACCAAAAAGAATTTCCGTTCAATAAGATTCAATCACATTTCGATTTGTTCAGTCATGAACAATATCATAATATTTGTTTTTTTTGTAGAAATGGAATTAGTAGAGTTATAAAAGAAACACAAAAAAAAACGAACGTAAGAAAAATTTCGATGTACATACACTTCAACAATGCTGATTGCTTTTCATATATGTTATTGTTATTGTTTTTGTTCTTGTTGTTCGACTGTTGCATTAGACGTCTGTTAACAATTTGAAAGGTAACAGTTACTTATTGTCAAATCAACGATCTGTAATTGTTCATAGTTTAATATTGATCAAAAAAGAAAAAATGAAGTAATAATTAATATTATGAAAAAAAAAAAAAAAAACATATTTAATAAAATAAATTTTCGTTTTTAATTTATTTTTGTTTAATCTAGTGACGAACATACGATGAGAAGTCAAATAAATTCATCACATCCATCACGGTTAACTAGATATTCTGGCCGACATTTTGATTTTTTGGATACACGTCATTCAGTTTTTTCAAGAAGCACTTATTATAATGATTTGCATTCAATTCATCCATGGTTACGTCATCCATGTTCACGTTATTCAGGTATTGCATTTTCAACATTACATGCAGCTCCTTGTTCAACGCGTACTGAAGAATTAGCTCGACCAAAAATCAAACGTGAACGACTTATTCGACAAGGTTATTTTATTAATAATTTTCAAATCAAAAACCAAAATGAAAAAATTCTTTTTTTTTATTTTTTTTTTAAATTATTTCTGTAGAATTTTTTGATAATTTTACAAATTATGCATATAGTGGTGTTAAACCTACAGCATTAACAGCAGAATGTTCAAATCGTTTAATTATACTTGCTCGACCAAAAAAAACACCAGCTGGCTTTATGAGTGGTTATATACTTCCACGTGATGTTCCGGAAGGTGCACTTCGTGCACATATAACTGGTCGTATTGAAGAATTGGCTAAACCACGACATAATAAAAATACTTATATGTGATCATTATGGAATAATAAATAGACATAATAGGAATAAATCTTATTTAAAAAAATATATAACATTTTGTTTATCTTTTCTTTTTTCTTTTCAATATATTACGGATTATATTTTTTTACTGTATTAGGTTATTATTTGTAAAAATAGTTACAAGGAAAAGAACAATATTGTTTTGAAGTATATAGTTGAATAAGCCGGTCGGGAAGTGCTTTGTCAACAGACATGTTGATAAAAAAACAAAAAAGATATTCTTAGATGATATTTATAATTAGACACAATGATTTGATTTGATTTTTTTAAATGTAAACTTTAGAGTAAACAAATTGTTTTGTTTTACTAAAAACATGAAAAAAAAACGAACAAAATTATTGGTTTTATTTAGACTTTGGAAAAAAGAAAACAAATGTTACTTATGTTAGTAGATAGTTTCAATTTTTCATAGATATATTTAAAAGATTTATTTTGAGAAATTTTTTTAAAACTAAAAATTGTATACTAGTAATTTCTCGAAGTTTAATTATTGATAACAACAACAGAATGAATAGAATAACTTTTTATGATTATGTAACACATTTTTATTTATTTTTCAATCATCTATGTACGTCAATTCTAATATGTTTTTTTTTTTTATTCGAATTTTGAAATGTGGTTCATAATATTAATTACAATGTAGGATTGGAATGAAAAATGAATTAAAATTATAATTAGAACTATAACAGCAAATATAAGATTTCTGCATAATAATAGTGTTTTTCATATTAAAGCCTTATAAAATAGAAGCTTCTATCAAACATTGATATTGTTTACATTTGTTTATTAAAAAAAATACAAACTAAAAAAAATGATTATAATAATTCCTTGCTAGATCTCGATTTTTGATGAATGAACATTGCTTATTATGAACATATTGGACTTTATTCATCATACCTAATGTAATTATTCAAGTTTATAATATATGCTAATAGCAGCATGTTTTTTTTCTGCATATTATTATATCTGATCATATTTTGTGACGATGAATTCTAATCGATGGTTTCGCGATATTGCATCTAATTGTAATGTATACTATGTATTACCAATGATGATCTTATACGAAACGATTTGTTTGTTTTGTGTTTATTATTCTTATTAGTTGAGCTGCTTGTGATCGTTAGTATATTAGTAAACATTTATAATTTAAGTACAGTATTGATTTAAGAAATATTAAGTCATAGTAGGTTTCTTCACAGTAGTTTCCTGTGGAGAATTTACTTTACATGAAACAGAATAACAAATAATTATTAATAGCCGGTCTAAAAACAAATAATCTGTTGTAATATTTACGTTATAATGAAATATCCGAAATTTCTCAATGATGATTTTTTTATTTTAAAATTAATTATCAAAGAATGTCTCGGTTTTATAGGTAGCATGTCAATCTGTTTGTATAGATAAATAAAATTTCATTCCTATAAATCATTATTCAATTTGTATAGTCAATATTATCAGTCACTACTTTTCATGTTTATCGAGTAACCGATAAGTTACCTAAACAAATATGAGTCACGAATAATATTTATGCAATTTTCTTTGTCTATCCAATATTATATGGTTTATTGATAGTATCAGTTTTTGATGCATTTAGTGATGCTATTTACGTCAGTATTTATCGATTAACAAATAGATAGCAAAGAAATCGAAGAGAAACTAAACAGTAATTAAGCAATGTAATAATTTTTTGATATGCTATATCAACTTTCGAAAGATATGATTCGTATTGCGATTAAATCAAACGAAAAAAAAAATGATTATCTCTATCGATAGTTATTCTATATTCTATGGAATCTTTACTTAACATTTACTTGTAATGAAAAACACATATATCATCATTCTGTCATGATCTTGAAACATTTATTTATAAAATTTACTGATTTATGTTACTCTTTTACGTATGTTTCAATATTTTATATGAATTTTATAGCTTGTTATATGACAATGTGTACCCATCGATAATTGTATCTATCCGTTTACTAATATAATTTCAAGACCAATACATCATACAAAATATGCTCATATGATTCAATCGAATATTTGACATTCGTGCTAGTTTACATGAATTATTTTAGAATGAGAATTAATAAATAACGGATGTCCTAGAATCAATTTCAATAATCATCGGACGTGTTTTTCTCTCATTTCCTAAGCATACAAAAAAACGACTTTCTTTATATATCCAAAAGATAGAAAATTTCAAGTTCTACAACACTATCAATTTTATTTTTCAAACACATTTTCCTTGCTTGACATTAAATTTAAAACATTGGCGACTACTCAGTCATTTAACTATTATTTAATATTCCAATTGAATAATTTGTGTACAACAATCGTTACTTTCGAGGCCATTTTGAAAAACCATATTTTATAAAAAGTCACATCTGTTTTATGAATGATTTATTATTATTTCATCGTATGTAAAATTTAATTCTGAATAGAATAATATAACTGTCACATTGAATAGAGAAAAACGTAATCTTGTTCTGAATAACGAAATAACAATTGCATTTATCTACTAGAAAAAAAAAAATCTTAAGAAAAGTGTTTCTTCCGAATACGTATCCTAAAATTCTGAAACATGTATCGGGCGATGAAGAATCTTTTAATATTGGTAGAATTTTGGCGAAGTCTTGATGAAAAATTCTTCAACGTTTCTTCATTTTTGTTTATTCGCCATCGTAGTTAAAAGATTCAATAGATGTGAAAGTTTTAAAATTGATGCCAACAAGAAAAAGTTTTTTGAAAAAAACAAAAAGCGACAGTTTTGTAGAACTTGAAATTTTCTATCTTTTGACATATAAAAATAATTTTTTTTTTTCGTTTAAGAAATGACAGAAAAAGATAACAAGGTTGTGTGAAATTTATTCTAGAACATTCATTAGAAAACTATATTAAAATGTCAACATTGTATCGATTTATGATTTTATATTATTATAAGTTAAATAACATTTATATGATATAGTACAAAAATTCGACGACGAAAAAGTCACACAAGCATAAAATTGCCCTTAAAATTTAGTCAAAGGGTTCACTGATAAACTTTATTTGAATGCACTATATGAAATGAAACGCGTGTTTTTTTATCTATGACAGCACATTGTATTTCATTTAAAAAAAAACCTGCTGACAATCGAGGCTTGTTTTACTTTCTAGAGCATGATAACAATTTCTTTTAGTACACTTCTGATATTAATTGTTGGTCTTTTTTTTAAATGAGTCTTTCGTGATTCTTGTAGATTACTCATTTCTTTTTTTTCATGACGTTTCAATAGTCTATCAACTAATTTCTTCAAACTTAATTGATAGAAAATGAACTATAATGAAACATAAAATTGTGTTTGTTCTTTTCCTTTTCTGCTGTGATTATGAAAAGGTATTGAGTTGACAAAACAGGAGCAGTAGATAGAAGCCATTTTCTTGTCATTATCATCCTCTGACCTTTTATCAAATCTTAGTAATAAAAGAAAAGAAAAAAAAAACATCTCATATGTATATGTGTTCTAGTCAAAATTTCATGTACTATCAACAAAGCCTAGAGAAGCAAGTATTAACTGATAAAATGTCATCATAAAAGAAGAAAAAAAAGAATATTTTACAAGAACCAAGAAAAGATTTATTTTAAAAAACATAACTAACAATTAATATAATCGTCCTAAATAAAAACAAACATGTGAAATTAATCCTTAGATGTCGATATTATTATTTATAATATTAGATTTTTTCATTGCATAAGTATACGCAGATTTGTATGTTCCCATGTAAATTTTATCTCATGTTTCTTTTTTTAATCAATTGTAAATTCAATATTATTCAGAAGCTTGATTGTTTGATATTATCAAGAGAATTAAAATATAGTATTAGATAGAAAAGAAAGATGCCTATCTAATTTTTCTTATAATAGCTTGCAAACTAATTTACTATGATTTAAAAAGACAATAGTTTTGGAGAACAAAAGATTTCTTATTTGTTGGATTATATCAGCTTTCTTTTCGTCTTTTTTCTATACCTAATTAAACGGCCTTCTTCATCTATTATGCTTTTTTTCTTTCCGAAGAAGCACGTCTTAAAAATGAACTTGTAAGAAATTCATCTCGTAGGTGACATGAAAAAGAAAACAATAGAAATTGAATCAAGGATCACCTCCCTATCATATTTATGTAATCATGAACAGCAGGCAGATAATGTGAGAGCAGTTGGCTGAATGAACTACGTCTTTTCTTTTCTTTTCTTGTCCCATTCGTTTGCTGGTCGTTTTTTTTTTCTTATAACTGTTGCCAGCTTCAGTTAGTATGCTCTCTTTCTTTTGTCTGTTGAATTACGTGGTTATATAAGTAGTGTAAACTTACTTTGATGGACAAAGAAAAGAGACAGAATGTATATAGTTAGTTGGAGTGGACGATTATTTTCCATTCTCTCGATCTATTACTATCTATTTCTTCGCATTAGTATATATTTTACATGATATTCTACTTTCGTATGATAACAATCAACTAAATATTCTTTTCTACTAAAAATCTCTTATGATCTTAATTAGATCTAAATCTAAGAAAGTTTTTTGCATATTTTTAAATTCATCTATAAATTAATATTTCTTTCGTTTTGTGCAACTATTTCATACATATCTTATCCTTATAACTAAATTTATATCGAAATGGATATGTGAGACATGAGAGAATGTTGTATAGATAAGAAAAAAAAGGCAGTGTGTGTGCGGGTATGCATTAACCGCATGTAATGGTAAACTATCTGAGTTCGAACACAGTCTTGTATTTGTTTCTTTTCTTTTTTTTGTTTTGTTTATTACTTTAGATGCGTCCATCTAGTGATGATCATGAAATTCAGGTGCCATCTTTATCAACAAGAACGGCTAAACATGAACCAACTATGGGTGTTCTGGATTCTATTAATCTTCTTTTAGCATGTATCATTGGTTCAGGTATATTCATTAGTGCTAAAGCAGTACTTGAATA